ATATTTATTTGGTTGTTGCCCGTGGAAATCTTTTACCTATGTTGAAAGGGTTTTGGCAGTAATAGGTAATACTATGACTTGTTATTACACGTGTAAAGGCGAACTTTAAAATTTTGTACAAAGTTATTTAAAGGGGTAGTAGACCTTGCCCAAGGAGTAGTAGTGTTGCTAAGAGGGAATATTAATGCAACTTGAAGAAAACTAAATATTATTACTAATTTTTAATGCAATTTAATATACACACAAAGTAGCATTAAATAAACACCGCTAGTTTGTTTATATTGCTTACTAAAGTTTGTCTAGAATTTACATCGATTCACCCATGTAGGTTCGTCTGTATTTCTGTCCGTTTGTGGAAATCACTCTAGGTTCGGAAATAAATGAAATATGTGGATACAGTTTAAGTTACAAGTTTCTTTTTGGACATGATACAATGAATACAAACTACATTGCATAACATAGAAAATGAACTCAATGTTTTGAAACAACAAATTTCTCAAGTAGTCCATACTACGATATTTTAGAAATCTTATACAACTCAATAACTATTATACCTCCATCAAGTAGTTCCGTATAGCGTCTAATCACTCAAAAAGGAAATCTTACAAAAGTAAATGACGACGTAATTCTGACGAAGTTGTTTTCCTCATTTGAACGAAATAACATTCCCAAAACCTTAAGTCACTTCAAGCCAAATTGCTTTTGTGAGGGGTTTGATTCAGATTTGTTTTTTGTAAATGAAGACCATGCCAGTGCTAACTAAAAAATAATTAAATCAGCAATTTCTTAAAAAAAAAATAATCAGCTAATATCTTCAGTAATACATTTCCATATCACCACAATGAGCCTTATAGTTTTAATTTTACAAACGAAATACTAAAATCGTCCAAGTTGATTGTCTCATGTTTTTCAAACATAATTTGAAAAACCTTTGAATATGTTATATATAGTAATAATAATAATAATAATAATAATAATAATAATAATAATAATAATAATAATAATAATAATAATAATAATAATAATAATAATAATAATAATAATAATAATAATAATAATAATAATAATAATAATAATAATAATAATATTAATAATAATAATAATAATAATAATAATAATAATAATAATAATAATAATAATAATAATAATAATAATAATAATAATAATAATAATAATAATAATAATAATAATAATAATAATAATAATAATAATAATAATAATAATAATAATAATAATAATAATAATAGTAATAATAATAATAATAATAATAATAATAATAATAATAATAATACTAATAATAATAATTGGGAGAGATCTAGCGTACAAAAGATGGAAACAATTCAAGAGGTCGGAAATCTCTTAACAATTTAAATTACTATTAAATTAGTTTTAAGTATTATGTGTGTCTGTTTACTTTTCCTGTAGGAATTGTCCAGCAACATCTTTTTGAGAGAGTAAGGTTGTTTTATTCTCTTTTGCAAGGAAAATGCGAAAAGTAAATAGACGGTATTCCTGCAGAGGCTTGCAACTAATCAGCTGATCTGTCAAAACAATCCAATTTGTCCCCCATTAAAAGAATTAAAAGAAAGGAATACCACCAATTTTAAAAGTTTTATAAATAAAAAGGAAATTAGCAATAGAAAAATATATGCAATGAAAGAAAGATAGATAGAACACATCAAGTGTTCCCCGGAATCCTTTATACGGCGTTTGTCTAAAAATGTTGGAAATAGTCTTTTATTTTTCTATCGCATATTAATATTTACGTTATTCACACTTTGTAAAGTTGTTCTCCAAAAACAATTTGTCTTGCAAATTCCAAAAAAAATATTTTCAAATTGAAAGCACAAAAAGAAATAAACAAGCAATAGAAAACATCTGATTGAATGCCGATAAATGAGATGAAGAAGAGTTGCAAGTGATTGCAAAAAGAAATTTGTCCAGCAAGAATTTGACAACTCCGACTGAAAGAACTGTCAAAATTTCTCTCTCCGACCCTTCTCTTTTGCAGAACTTTCGGGTTAACAGATGACTTCCAGTAACTATTTGTAACAATTTTTACAAATTTTAGGGTAACCAAACACACCTATTATTAAATTAGTTATAATGTTACAAACAATTACGAAAATGTCTTCACTAATTTGAATATTGCACGAAACCTGAATGAATTCTACTTTCGTTTTATCGACCAGAAAGGAGTTCCTTCTAGATTCAATACAATAAAGTCTAATGCTGAGGGATAGGATGGTATAAATACAAATTTCTTAAAAATACTGCTTCCAGTACTTTTACCGTTCATAACATATGTATTCGATACGGCTTTTACAAAATCTGTTTCCCAGATACTTTCACTTGGACCCAAATCCAACATTGATTTTCGCCCTATATCAATTTTACCACTAATATCTTATATTATGAAAAATTTGATGCATAAATAAATCAATAACTATCATAGTAACGGCGAATAACTAACTGAGCGACAGTCAGGATTTATGAGGAAAATTATTTGTTTTACTTCCTTTATAGATGTCACTGAAGATCTGAGTTACCAGTCGCTCACCAACTAATTTTATACCCTCCACCATAGTATGGAGGGTATATTAAGTTTGTCATTTCGTTTGTAACGCCTCGAATTATACATTTTAGACCCCACAAAGTATATATATTCTTGATCAGTATAAAATTCTATGTCGATTTAGCAATGACATGTGGAAATCACTCTTGCTTCCGAACGAAATGAAGTAGGTTGATAAAATTTTACTCAAATGTATATTATGTTTGCAGGACTTTTGGTATAGAAAATGGGCCATGTAGGTTCACGTCTTCGTATAGCCCTCGTATAACAGTACCTCCCGATATTCGGTATTTTGATGATTTTAGCCACATTTTTTACGGGAATTGTTTCAAATTTGGTATTTGAAGTTCGTAACATATAATACAGGATAAATCAGAAAATGGGTCATGTAGGTTCACGTCTTCGTATTGCCCCCATATAACGGCACCCCCTGATATTCGGTATTTTGACGATTTTAGCAACATTACCGAAAGTGTTTCAAATTTGGTACTTGAAGTTCACAATGGAAACTATATCCTAAGACAGAAAATCTTCGTATAGCCCCCATATAACGGTAGCTCCCTATACTGGTTATTTTAATGATTTTAGTGACATTATTTACCGGAACTATTTCAAATTTAGTATTTAAAGTTCGTAATGAATACTACAGCCTATGACAGAAAATTATCTGTACAGGTCCACGGCTTCGTATAGCCCCCATATAACGTTACCCCCGATATTCGGTATTTTGATGATTTTAGTGACATTATTTACCGGAACTATTTCAAATTTGGTATTTGAATTTCGTAATGAATACTATGACAGAAAATTGTCTGTGCAGGTCCACGTTTTATAACCCCCATGGTACCTTCTTATATTCGGTATTTGGATGATTTTAGCTACATTATAAACAGTTTTTTTTTTCATGTTTCGCATTTGAATATTTTAATAGCTTGTGACAATGTTGCCTATGTAAGTCCACGTCGTCGTATAGACCCTAATATACGGCTACGTTCTGTATTTTTAAGATATTAATAGAATTTTTAACGGATTTTTTTTTTTTTTTTTTTTTTGTAAATTGCCAAATTTGTACCACATGGTGGAGGGTATTCAAAGTTCGGCCCGGCCGAACTTACAGCTTTTTGACTTGTTCTCAACAATGTACTCTCTGCAAAATTACCTATAAATAGTGGTGTACCAAGGATCTGTGGTTGTATATGGGTTTTAATGCACATAATTTGCAAAGCAGTATATTGACAATCAATGATGATTTATACAGAGTAAGCACCTGGACTTCAAATAAGAAAATTAAGATAAATCCAAACGTAGACGAGGACAAGCATAGACGATTTTCTGTCACATATTGTAGTACTCACTAGGAACTTCAAATACGAAATTTGAAAGCATTAATTTGAAGTATGTCGATTGAGAATAAAGGAAAGTACCGTTTTATGTGGCTATACGAAGACTTGGACATGGTAGACAACTTTCAACTTAATCATGGTATTAACTGCCATAGTTTAAAAAAGAAAGATGTGAGGCTTGAGTTTGTACGCAAATTGTAAGCAAGTGTTGAATATTCCGGTTAACTTATGGGAAATTAAATCCACATCTAAAGTCTAAACACCTTATCTAGTCCGCTGTCTAAAGTGGCGAAAAACTTCTAATGGCGTCTTGAACAACTTTATAACTTTATTTTCCTTAAGGTTGTTGTGACAGCTGTCTCAATATAATGTGTGAGTTTTTTAAATCTGGCCCTATTGTTACTAATTTCTCCTGTTATTCAGAACTTTGTTCGTTGTCCGAATTACTCTTTAGAGTTGATTATCTTTAAATGACTTCACTAGGATTGTAACATGTGTTGCCTAAGCTTTTTTAATAATCTTCCGTATTCTGTCCATATAGTTTTGGATCTATTGTGGAATCTTTTTGGGTTAGACGAAGTCCGCGCTGTGTTTAATCCTTTATAATTGGGTTAAGAAGACATGTTCTCTCCATAACCTGAATAAGACATGAAACCTCTTTCTTCGGCTCCAGGTTCAATATGGCCATTCGAACGAAGCGAACACACTTTAATTAATTAATTAATTACGACTGTATATAAATGTGATGTATAAAATAAAATGCAAAATGGCCTTCAGTAAAAAGTTGAAATGAGATAAACGGCAAATTATTAGATACTTTAAAAAATTTCGGAATTTGAGAATATTTATATGTCATCATCGATAATATTTGCAAGCATAATTTCTAGCCAACAAGAATTGCATCCCAACCAACTTAAAATGAGTATAAACTCTCAAAATCCAAACAAAATGAAAGAATCAAAATAAAGCAGGTACGGTTTATACATTAACACACGTAGGCTCTGTTTAAATTTTTGGTCGAAATTTCATTTATAATACGACCGAGTTATGTTATTTACGTATTTTATGAATAATGTACTTACATTTTGCAAAGATCTTCCTTCCAGCGTTGACTCTTTCATATTAGCTGAGTAATTCGAAATGGTTTTCGATGTGAAAGTTACCATCAAGGAAGGTTCGGCTTCAGAGGATATGTTGAGGACATCATTTGAAACAGAAACTGAAACAGTGTCACTTAATTTAGAATTTCAAACAACACCTTATTGCATATTTAGATATCACAATACGTTCGAGATAAAGCCAATTAAACACTCCGTCGTTGGCGTTTACTAGATAATTAGCGTGTATCAATGTGAAACTATAACCGAAATTTTTTTAATAACCAAATCTAAAGTGCTTTTATTGCTTTTAAAAATGTTGTTGCAAAATGGTCAGGCTTTATCTCTTATTTATGTTTATTAGTGGAGAACGATGGTAATGTTTACCAGGGGGTAAGGTAGGGAATACCTAGGTTTCGGAAAGAGCCACCAATCCTTATCAATTCCCTTGTTTTTTGTCTGGGATATTCTAACCAGAAGTTATTTTAAACATAACTTCTATGACAAAAAACCTTTTTTTACCCAAGTGACGAGATCGTAAGCTCAATAGAAGAGGAACCAAAGAATTAAATAAAACTAAAATTCTTTTGGAGTCTTCTAAATCTTGCCTTGTATAATTATGTTGGTATTTAATTAAAAATTTATTTAGAAACATGTATTACTTAGATTCTAAGTTACAACTATGTTGGGTTCTACATATTTTGTTAAATCTGTTGTTACTATAGGCTAAAATAATATTGGTTTTGCAAGCAACAAATTTTTGGAAATGCATTCATCAATAATTTCTAAGTTTGTATCAGTCTCAATTTTATTACTCATTTCAACATAAGATGAAGTGCTCATGTAATGTTGTTGGTATCCATTGCCATTAAATTGGTATTCATATTCCTTAAAACATTAAAAAATTTAAAGTTATTACGGTATGCGAAATTATAAGTATAACGTTTTTTTCCACTTGTCATAATTTAACCATTTGGGAATAAACTTTCATAGTCTATACATTTACATACCCATTTCGATATCTTCCAATTATTGAATTTTGCTTGACATTTGTTAGACCTCCCTCATTTATGGTTCCAAATAGAAACTTAAAGATTGAAGTAGCAATTTAGTGTAAAAATTATTAAGGTATTATGATTTCGGGTAGTTCAATAAATGTTTGTGAAATATGTTGTTTGTTTTGTCTATATCTGTTATATTAATTTGTAAGCAAGAATTCCCGAATTCAGTGGGTAGTTCCAACGATTTGACAGAAAATATTAGATATCCCTGGTTGGTGCCAATATTATTTATTTCAATGCTATTGTTGTGTACCATGATCCTGGGAATATGGAATTTGAGTATTTTTTTTCGTTTTTTAAATTGTCGTTTATAGTAATAAGTAACTGTATTTCGATTAGTTTTTTTTGATATTATTGGTTATATCTGTTCAAAGTTACTATTTAAATTGATTCTCTAGTTTACCTTTCTGTAATGGGTCTTTTCAATATCTTGTATTTTTTTTTTTAAAAGTCTTGTCCATCTTTATTTATTTTATTTTTCTGCTTAAACATTTTTGTCGGCTATCCATTAAAAGAAAAATAAAGTTTTTCCTGTGGTGTAATCTTTGGTCTTAGGGTTGTAAACATGAATATTGGTCAAAGTTTTGCTTTGTATTATATCGTTATTATCAGATGTGTTTATTATTCTTAATTTTTAATTTAAAGTTTTATGGAATCTTTCTTAAACAACATAGATGTAAATTTGGCTTCCGTTCTTATAAACAGAAATGTATCAAAGTTAAGAAATGCGTAAAATTTACTTGAATAACAGGATCTCATTAGAAATAACGTACAAGAAACATCCATATCCATTCGATTCTAGGACAGAATATATTACGTCCTTTAAAAGCACAAATAGATTTACGATCTGAAACATTAATAATCAATTGGAAGGCGATATTATTTTTTAAGTACTGCCCCTATAAGAGAGAAGAAATATATAAATTAGAGCATTTAGCAATTGACGAAACTGTAATGCAACACATATTTTCCAACTTGGACGAAGACGAAGCATCAGCATTAGAAAGATTTTAAAGTTTTATAGTGATGTAATATACACTGGTGACAAAATATTGGGTAATGACGAGATAGTACAACACGAAATAAAGACAATTGTAGACAAAGTAGTTTATATTAGGTAAAACACAATTTTTTTTTACTGAAGATTTGGCAAAGAGATTCCACCAAATTTTAGTGAAACCTGAAGACAGATGAAAAACTACATTTTCCACGCCATTATGAATTCGTCCGGATGCCTTTCGGGTTGAAAAATGTACCAGAAACTTTTCAACGCTTGATAAATAGGGTTCTTTGAGATTTCATCAATAAAATATGTGTCGTGTACTTGGACGACATTCTTATATTTTCTATTTTGCAAATTTTTTGCAAAAGAAACAATGTATTTTGGCCACTTATTGAAAAATTATGGTGTAAAGCCGAATCCTTGAAAAATATAAACCATTTTGAAACTAAAACTACCTCAAAATATAAAAGAAATAACATTATTCCTTAGCTTGGTAAGATTTTAAAGAAAATTTATCAAGGACTTTTCTAAAGTTGCTTTTCCGATGATAAAGTATTTGAGTACGGGGGTACGAGTTAATGACAGTAATTACATAAATTCATTTGAAAAAATATATTGACCTAAGCTCCGGTACTTACGTACCCAGATTTCCGAAAGCCTTTCCAGTTATTCACAGATGCAAGCAGTGATGCAGTTGGTGCCGTTTTTTAACAAAACTGCCACCCAATCTGCTATTCCAGCAGAACTATAAATCAACACGAAAAAAATTATTCCACCTCCGGAAAAGAGCTATTGACAATTGTTTGGGCACAGGATATTTTCGTCCCTATTTATATGAAATAAAGTTTGAGGTCTTTTCAGATCACCAACCCTTAAGGTAGCTCTTTGTAAAGGCACAAGGCCGATATGTAAATCCTCGTCTCTTTAGGTGGATGTTTAAGCTTAGTGAGTTTAATATTGATGTTAATTATGTAAAGGGTAAAGATAACAATGTTGTCGACTTTTTAATCAGAATAAATTATGAAACAGGGAAATAAACCATATTGACGATACCAGCAGCTCATTATATAACAATAATGATTCTGATTTGGATACTGTTCATCGCAACAAGAAGGAATAGATTTAAACATCAAATTATTTTGACCTTCTATATCTTATATATCTACTCATGACTTAGACAATAACCTTCGGCAAATTTTAAACAATAATATAGATAAAGGAAAAATAGGAATATGTAGTGAGGTGAATGATAACAAATATAATACTCTTCAGAAAAAAATTAAAGATGTTTTTTTAGGAATTAACTCAAGAAATTCATCAGATGTTCTTTTTTCGCAAAATATATGATTTCAAAAAAAGATACTTACGAATCAAAAATCAACCATTATCACAAAAAAAAAAATCTAAAAATAAATAAAAATTAAAAACAAAATTTGACCGCAAACCTATTAAATTGAAATTTAAATTAACGGAGACACCTACTGATATCGGACGAATTATACATATCTATGTATATACTAATGCTAAATAAATTTTATACATTTATCCATCTTCCACTGCATTTTTCTTAGAAGATAGGACTAATCAAACAATACTTGAAAAATAAGATTATATATATGTGTAATGGCAATTCTATAATTAATTGTGCTCTAGACTAAGAGGTTGTTGAAAGAAGACTGGCACATTATAATGGAATCGTTCATTAAGAATAGGAATCGGATATTTGCAAACGCATTGTGCATGTCTTCTTTCAACAACCTCTTAGTCTAGAGCGCAATTAATTATAGAATTGTCATTACACAAAATTTCAATGAATCTAAAATATTATTTCTCTCTCATTATTTCTCTCTTATATAGTAACATTGCTATACCCAAAAGTAACAATATTCTATTCAAAAAAATTTAATCGACTATTGTTGTTGATACAATAACAAACAACAATTGTGCTTGTTAATCTATAGATTAAAAATTCCAACAATGGATTTAAAACTTTATAGCTTATTGCATTATATCGAAAATTTATTTAGGATAGTTTGAGAAGAGGGGAGAAACGATCGTCTTCAATGTAGGACAGTCGTGCGAGATGTGTATTTTTAAATAAAATACTATAATACAAATTATTTGAAATTGTGTGTAGTGACAATTCTATCATTACTTCTCCCCTGTTGAATTAAAACACAATTTTTAAGAATTTAACTAACAAATAAGATTATGAATTAGAGATTCAATAACTTATATATTATAATTTATAATGAAATTTATCAAATACTACTTGAAATGTATTTTATACGTTTTTTTACATATTTATTAGTGCCTACTACTCCAAAACATTTGGCTTTTCGTTTGATATTGTTTTCATGCATATTTTTTAAATTGCTAAATCTAAATTTCACTTTTAACCGACATGAAATTGTATTTATAAGTACTACATCTCTGTTTTCATAATATATTTCCCTATTAACATTATTTTTTTCAATACTGTTTTTTTTTTTTAAATTCTCTTGTAAATATCCTCTTTATTGCAATTTCCAAACTCAGCTACAAAGGGCTTCTCTTTAGTGACGGAATGAAATATATTAGTATATACATCCATATGTATAATTTGTCCGATATCATTAGGTGTCTCCGCTAATTTAAATTTCAGTTTAGAGGTTTGTGGTCAAATTTTGATTTGTTTTTAATTTTTATTTATTTTTAGATTTTTTGTGATAATGGTTGATTTTTTCGTAATTATCTTTTTTTGATATCATATATCTTGCAAAAAAAAAGAACATCTGTTGAATTTCTTGAAGTTAATTCCTTCAAATACCTCTTTAATTTTTTTCTGAAGAGTATTATATTTGTGATCATTCACCTCACTATATATTTCTATTTTTCCTTTATCTATATTATCTTTTAAAATTTTCTGAAGGTTATTGTCTAAGGGTTGGTGATCTGAAAGGATCCCAAACTTTATTCCATATAAATAGGGAAAAAAATATCTTGTGCCCAAACAATTGTCAATAGCTCTTTTCCGGAGGTGGAATAATTTTTTCGTGTTGATTTAAAGTTCTGCATC